GTAAATGGAGTTAGATGAGCCACTGCTTAAGCCAACAATGAAAGTGTTGGTTGGCAGTATTACTAGAAAAAACAAACAAACAATTTACCTTGCCATAATGAGCATGTGGGCAATGTTCAAAATTATTTTAAACATAAAATAAAGCTGGGAATCTAGAAAACTCTGTATACTTACAAATGAAAACAACTTTTGAAATAACACTTGAAGATCCAGATCGTGACAGAAACTGACTTCTGCTTATCTGTGACAGGTTGGAAGAACTAGAAAGAAATAGACTATCCTGAGATATACAGGTCGTTACTGAAAGGGAAGAACATCTAGTTTGCACAATGCCCACTGGACAACATTCTCAGCTTGGCACTTCTGTTCCACGTTTGTGGTTGAACTGCCCCCCGCCCCCTTTTTTTTCATTCACAGACCTAACCTATCAATACTCCTAATTTATTTATTTATTTTAAAAAATTTTTTGGTTAATCCTCAACAGAGGATATTTTTTCCACTTATTTTTAGAGAGAGTGGAAAGGAAGAGGGAGGAGGTAAGAGAGAGAAACATTGAAGTGAGAGAGACATCAATTGGTTGCCTCCCACCTGAGCCCCTACTGGGGCAGGGGAATCAAACCTGCAACCCAGGTACATACCCTTGACTGGGAATCAAACCGGAGACCCCTTGGTGCATGGACCTATGCTCTAACCACTGAGCAACTGACCAGGGCTTAATACTCCTAATTTATAATCTTAATCATATTCTCTCATTTACTGATTATAATCTTATTGCCAGTCGTTACTCTTTGGCAGGATTTCTGGAAACTTCAGTTAATACATGAAATTTTTAAATGAAATACTTCTTTAAAATACAGAAAAAATATAGACTTTTTTTTTTTTTTTTATAGAGAGGAAGGGAGAGGGACAGAAAGCCAGAAACATCGATGAGAGAGAAACACCCATCAGCTGCCTCCTGCATACTCCCTACTGGGGACGTGCCCGAAACCAAGGTACTACCCTTGACCGGAATCGAACCTGGAACCCTTCAGTCCGCAGGCCAACGCTCCGTCCAGTGAGCCAAACCAGTTAGGGTGAAAATCAGACTTTTCATAGGAAAGGCAGATGTGCAGCTAACAATCATCCTTTGCAAATTTCTATGTTAAAGTTATAGGTTGTGAAAGGATTAGGACAGATTGGCACTGTATTAGTGTGGATCCATGATTGGAAAGTGAATTAAAAACCATTTTTTAACATTAATAATTTTGCATGAAGTCTCAATCCATTGTGCTAATAATCTATATAAAAGCGTCTATATATAAAAATGAAGTATCAAAATCAAATTATGTTTTTTTAATATCTTAAAAAATAAGTCTGAAAACTTTATATAGGATCGTGGCTTACTTGTTCCCACATTTAATAATCTTATAAAAATTAAATTTTAGTTGATAACCTTCTATGAGGTGTGTGTGTGCGCGCGCGCTGAAATTTAGTTTTGGCCTAGAATTTGGAAACAATTGCTTAAAATGCCATTTAGTCCAACCACTTCAATTTCAAGGCTGAGAGGTGAGTGGCTTTGCCTGCAATCAGTGTTAAAATCAGGGAAAGCATAGCTCCTGACCACTAGTAGGGCAATATGCCCTCACAGATAACCAAGCACTAAACATGTTGCTAATTAGGAACCTTGATTGATGTTTATTTTAAAACAAAAATCAAATGCATAATCAAATAAATCCATCTACTTTGTAGTAGACTTTGTAGACATGACTGTAGCTGTTATTTGTCAAGGAAAATAACATCAAATTATAAATTATATAACCCAGGTCATAAATGATGTAATCTAAACTGTGAGCTTTTAATTCTCCAAATGTTGAATTCTCAATTACAGTCTACAGTTATATGCTTAATACATGTCTGTTGCATAAACAGACAAATGTCATTCTAAATCACTGCAGAATCAAGTTTCCTCATAACATTAGAAACTTCTCAACCTAGCCCAAAATCTTATTTTGGAAATCATTGGAACATCAATGATATAGAGGATGAAAAGATGGTGGTGGTGTGGTGAAGTTCTACTTCTCTGATTTTCCAATCAATGAAAATTTAGAAGCTTTAGGGTGCTTAAATGAGAACAGTAATTGCACACGACTTTTGTGTGAAAACATCTCACATTACCTTAGCCACACCTACTTGACCTTTTAGGTTAAGTAACACGAAAAGGTTTTAATATCCAAAGAAATCCTAGTTTAAGAGTATGGACTAGTCCAGCCAGCTCAGTGGTTGAGCATCGACCTATGAACCAGGAGGTCAAGGTTCGATTCCAGGTTGGGGACTCCTGTGCAGGACACCTGCAGAGGTGATGCTATCTGCATTTCACAGGGAGGTGATTATTTCCAATTTCACCATAAACACACACACCCACATTTTCCCTATGCCTTTGAAAAATAATTTTGAGAACTGGTGCTACTTTTTCCCCTCCACTATGAAAATGTGTAATATAATTTCAAATTCAAGATTAAGGAAAGTTTGGTCTATTAAGAGAATGTCCCTTTATCAGAAACTTTAGGAATTCATGGATTTTTTTTCTTTGAAATAACCTTTTAAAAGCAAGATGTGCCCAACCGCTGTAGCTCAGTGGATGAGCGTCCACACATGTACCAGGAGCTCAGTTTGATTCCTGGTCAGGGAACACAGGCTGTGGGCTTGATTCCCCATTGCGGAGTGTGTAGGAGGCAGATCAATGATTCTCTCTCATCATTGATGTTTCTCTCCCTTCCTCTCTCTGAAATCAATAAAACTATATTAAAAAAATAAAAGAATGATGCTTTTTGCTGACCCATTCATACTTATTTTAAAAGGGGGGAGGGGCAAAGAAAAAATTTATCCTAAGAAACTGATAGGTAGAATCTGGGTTTGTGATATTTTAGATTTTGTGAGGATGTGCTTTAAAAACATGTCCAAGTAAGTCAAATGGGTTACTTAAAACCAGCACTCACAATCTGGGGATCAACTTTGTCTACCATAATATGCAAAACTGTATATTTAAAAAATATCAGTGATCATACATGAGAACGCTGATGTCGGGTTTCATTGATTCTTGTGACTTCCAAGGTGATTCTGCATTTTAGCAAGTAGGAGCTTGTGACTGACCACTACTGAGAATCCAATGACACTAAGAATGTTTACCTATTACTTTTGTCAATTTCACATTAGTCTACATTACATATACATCTTGTAATTTTTTCCCTTCTAACCCATAAAACCCAGAATTCTCTTTAAAAAATGTTAACTATGCCTTTCTTCTTTTATTGCTCCTACTTTTCACATTTTCTTTTTTTCTGAATAAGTAATGAATGTAATGCCCTGGACTGACTTTGAAAAGTATGACATAGAGAATGGCTACCATCAACAAATCAACACATGACAAGTGCTGGCGAGGATGTGGAGAAAAGGGAACCCTAGTACACTGCTGGTGGGAATGCAGACTGGTGCAGCCACTATGGAAAACAGTATGGGTTTTCCTCAAAAAAATTAAATATGGAACTGCCATTTGACCTAGTGATCCCACTTATAAGAATATATCCTAAGAAACCCAAAACACCAATCAGAAAAAAATGTATGCACCCACATGTTCATAGTAGCATCTCTATGTTTATAGCTAAGATCTGGAAATAGCCCAAGTGCCCATCAGTAGATGAGTGGATAAAAAAGCTGTGGTACATTTACACCATGGAATACTATGCAGCTGTAAAAAAGAATCTCTAACCCTTTCAGACAGCATGGAGGGACCTGGAGAGTATTATGCTAAGTGAAATGAGCCAGACAGAGAAAGATAAGTATCACATAATCTTACTCATATGTGGAATCTAAAGAACAAAATAAACTGATGAACAAAATACCAGAGACATGGAAGCATGGAACAGACTATGGAATCTCAGAGGGAAGGTGGAGGTTGGGTGGGAAGAGATTAACCAAGAAACTTAAATGCATATATGCATGGCCCATGGACACAGACAATAGTGTGGCGAGGGCCTGGGATGGGGGACGGGGGCAAGCTAGAAAGAGTCAATGGGGAAAAAGAGGGGACATCTATAGTACTTTCAGCAATAAACATGCACTTTTAAAAAAGTGCGACAAAAATATTTGTCTTCAAATTTTGGCGTCTAAGAAAAAGTTAAGAAAAAGATCATACAATTTAAAAGAGGATGTAATTCTTATTTTTCTCCCCAAAATAGTTTTACTAGAACCAGTCATATGGGAAATAAAAATGTTTTCACACCTTTGATCTGGCCCTGTGATTACTATTTGTCATGGATGTGTGGCTTTGTGTTCGAGAGATTTGATATTACATGCTCCAATTAAATGTCCCCATATCAAGTGCTTGCCACTGCTTGGGCTAGAATCCTGGAACATTTAAGACATTCTTCATGACAACTTATGTCTATTTTCTCTGTGATCTAAATAGCCACTATTGGCCCTAACCGGTTTGGCTCAGTGGATAGTGTGTCAGCCTGTGGACTGAAGGGTCCTGGGTTCGATTACCGTCAAGGGCATGTACCTTGGTTGCAGGCATATCCCCAGTGGGGGGTGTGCAGGAGGCAGCTGATTGATGTTTCTCATCGATGTTTCTAACTCTCTATCCTTCTCCCTTCCTCTCTGTAAAAATATCAATAAAATATATATTTTTAAAAATAGCCACTATTGGTTACCTTAATGGATCAATTAAATATCCATGAAGATGAGTACAAAGAAGTTACCACCCCTTTATTATTTACCTGGCCCATTTCTAAATAAGCAGAATAACAAAGTTCATTTTGATTAAAAACTGGGAAAACACAGCAGCCATATTTTCTCAGTGTCACTATCACTGTCAAGAAGAAAACCTAGGTCATAACAGGTTATTCCTAGATTGCATTAAGTCTTAAGAGACTAATGTAGCTGAACCACACCCAATTTACTTTCTAAGTTAACTAATAAAAGGTGATAATTTTTCTTGAAAATTGTAAGTAAATCTGCACATACACGATTTTGAGAATAATTTAATGTTAACTTGAACATACAACTACATTCTAATGTGATTATATTAAATGCAAAGAAACGGATCCTTACAAAACCAAAATAACCCACAGGCCATGAGGTCAGTTTCACTTTTTCCTTTGTTTAAACAAACGTGCACCACGATGGTTCAACAAGTAAGGCAAATGACATGAATATGAAAGCTGCGGTTTGTAATATACCACATCTAGAACCCAGAGAAGGTGAATTAGACTAAAGTGGCAGTCATTCTAATTAAACAATCAGGATGACTTGGTTTGCAGCATGGAAACTGTCGATCTAGGTTTCTTTTCTCTTAATGATCAGAGGTCCCACATTATCTCCAGTCTCTTCGTTGTGTTTTGTGTGAGCTCCATCGCAGAACGGGAACTGGGAAGAGAAAAAGAGAATGTAAAATGTCTCATCACAAAGTCAATATTATGTTTGGCAGAGTGGGGGTGACGTTCAAGTCACATATATATCATGATGACTGAATATAAAATAGCATTCCTATTTGTGATATTTGAGTATGGATTTTGAAAACCCTTCCATGTTTATATACTAGTTATAATTCCGTTTTAGTGAACTGGCTATATCCATTGCCTATTTATTTAAGAGCCTAAGTTCACTTATTTAAGATCAATTTGTATATGATCCCTCTGTTGATCAACTTAATACAATTTTTTCCCCTAAACCTTTTTATTTTGCTTAGTTTTTCATGCCCTTAATTTTCCCATTTTCATACAAATAGGCCTATTTAACATCATACATTTCCTTTCATACATTTCTCTCTTTTTAACATCTTTCATGGAGACTTTTTTCTAAAAATATGGTAGATTCACATTCCGTTTCATGATTTCACATTTTTCATTTTTAAGTAGATTTTTATTGATTTCACAAAGGAAGAGGGAGAGAGCGATAGAAACATCAATGATGAGACAGAATCATCAATTGGCTGCCTCCTTCATGCTCCACTGGGGATTGAGCTTTCAACCTGGGCATATGCCTTGATCAGGAATTGAACAGTGACCTCCTGGTTCCTTGGTCAATGCTCAACCACTGAGCCAAGCTGGCCGGGCTCATGATTTCACATTTTAGATATAGCTGATCTTTTGGTGTCCAGTGGGAGGGAAAGGACAAAAAATTGTTTAAGTGTTTCCCAGAATATGCTCCAAAGAAGTTAGTGCTGCAATATATTCTAATATGGTTTTATTCTGTGTTTAAAAAACATACAAACGACCCACATACAAAGCTATTTTGATTCACAATATACATTATTATTTTACAAAGGTCCTGCTATAAAAAAACTCTATTTTACCCCAAACTCTTCCAAACTGACTAGATTATGGGCATTTTTAACTTATCCACGATCACAACGTTGTATAGAGTACAGTACACTTTGCAAAATGCTGTTCTAGATCTTGTTGCTTCAATATTTTTAGAGGTTGCATCCTAGATTGTTATATCTTTCTTCATAATTTTATCAAAACAAAATATACAATGCCTAGATACAGGTTTGACATTATATTCATCAACCTATTCCACTGGGAAAATAACTGATTAAAATAAGCTTAAAATTGGGCTAGTTTTCCTCTATATTATTACTTTAAAAAAATACCTTTCTAATGATTTCAGAGAGGAAGGGGGAGCTAGAAACATGTATGATGAGAAAGAACCATTGATTGGCTGCCTCCTGCATGCCCCCTGACCAGGAATTGAACCATGACCTTCTGGTTCATAGGTCAATGCTCAACCACTGAGTCATGCTGGCCGAGCCATATTATTCTTTATTAAACCTTTCCTATTAATCCTTTACCTAACTTTATTTAAATTCTACCTATTTATTCTTCCTCATAAACGTGAGAATTTTGTTTTTGCCAAATCCTATTTTATTTCTCTTGCAGTTTTCATTCTCAAGTCTCATGTATTTCTGACAAGATTATTTCTCTTATATGGTCATTGGTTATTATAATTAGGTATATTTTTATACATGACCTCTCTGTGTGTGTGTATGTGTATCACTGGTTTTTGCAAGTATATCCTTCCTACTGTTAAATAATAAAAATAAGGACTCAACAGTGTTTTAGTTGTCTCCTCAGGATTTTACACTTAGAAGGCTCAATTATCACTAGATTATTTTGTTTCTCTCTTTCTATATTTATAGCTTCACTTCTATTTCATGTCACACAATGATAGCTAGCACCTGTTCCATTTAATCTAGAGTTTCATGTTTAGTATAAGGTACACTATTGCATGGAAGGAGCCTGTTTAGAAGAGGATAGTAAGAGTCTTGGCCTTACGAGTAAAATCGCCTGATTACTCACTGGGAAGGGGAATATAATTTCAGATACCTGAAACTAGACAATGATGATATATAATCTTAAACTTTGATATTAGCAGTGTCTATTCAAAAAATTAAAATATTTGATGTTAATGAAATTCAATTTTAATTTTACTATCTGTATATAATTCTGAGAGGCAGTAAATTAACTAAAAATTACAGAAAAACTCAAGGTTTTCAGAATACCTTCTATATCCAGGTATAAGTTTCATCTTGGGGCAATATAAATGTAATACATATGAAGCCTGCATTATTTCTTTTTTTAGGTCAATATGATATGGTACACAGTTTATTCATATTAAAAACAAGTCCTTGCAGCAAAAACATGAACCCACGCTTTCAGGTTTTTTGGCATAGATGAGGAAAGAGGCCATAAAAAAAAAATCAAACTAAAATGTATTCTACAGCAAAGAACAGCATTTCAAAGTGGCATATGTTTGATAAACACATGATTTTACAGCGAGAATGGAAGTTTACATTGTAAAAGACTCCATTTTTATAAATAGCTCACATAAAACATGTCACTGTAAAGTTTCATGCACACAGATTATAAAACACTAGTGACCCGGTCCACAGATTCAGATTTGTGCACACTGAAAGGAAATTAATTAGAAGGTGGCCGGCAGGACGGGACTGGGCCAGATGGGCCGGACACGCCCTGGAGCCAACCTCCCACAGGTCCTCCCCAGCCAGCTGCACATGGGGTGGCCCCACGGCTCGAAAGCCATCTGTGGAGTGAGCGGGGTCCCTCCGGCAGGTGGGGTCCCTCGGCCTGGCCTGCGGGGATCGGGCCAAAACTGTCTCTCCACATCCCCTGAGGGGTCCCAGAGTGCAAGAGGGCACTCTGCAAAGTTGCTGTCATACAGGGTGTGGAACGCAAATGCAAGTGTGCAGTAAACCAGATTCAGGACCGACAGTACCCCAGCAACAACATAACCCACAGCCAAAGGTGGAATTGCGCGGTCCCACAAGGAATCGGGCTCCCTCCTCTGGTTTTGGAGTGCATCACCCGAGAACTGCTGCTGTCAAGTCACTGCACCTCAGCAGCTCCTGCATTGAGTGTCTGCCCCCTGGTGGTCAGTGCATGTAATAGGGACCAGTAGGACGGAGGGAGGGACACTTAGCATATCAGCCTTTTATAAATATAGATATTTCTGGAAAACAAATATCAGTAAGTAAAAAAGCCTCAAATAACTTACTGATGTAGCATGCTTCACTTTTATTTCTTTTTTAATGTCACTGTTAAAAATACTAGAAAATTAATTCATTTTCTCAAATTATTTTTCTCCATATATAGAATCAAGAACAGGAGAGAAATCTATAGAGAATAAAGAAAATCTTATAAAGATTAAGAAAGCCATACATCAGGATGAAACTACAGTCTGGCTGGAATGGTTCAGTTGGTTGAGTGTTGGCCTGTGCACTGAAAGGTTGTCGGTTTGATTTTGGTCAGGGCATGTATATGCCTGGGTTGCGGTTTGATCCCTGGTTGGGGTTCCTACGGAAGGCAACCAATCTATGTTTTTCTCTCTCTCTCCCCGTTTCTCACTCTAAGCATGTCCTTGGGTAAGGATTTAAAAAAAAGAGAGAGAATATACTTTTTACAATAATCTGTTTCTGCCTAAAAACTGAAATTTACATGTTTCACATGTTCTTAAAAGTAAACAAGTAAAAAATAAATATTTGTTTAAAAATTAGTGAGTAGTAGGACCTGTCTATTTGTTAATAAACTTTCATGCTTTTAAAGTGTATGAAAAATGCTTTTATGCCTTTAAAATGTAAACTAGGTATTAAAAACCATTTTGTTCAGAGGCACTGATATCTTTTAATACTACTTTCTATTAACACTTAACCACAGGAATTATTGACTTAGGTCAGAATCATCTCCCTGTGGTTAAGTATTCCCATCATATTTAAGCATTAGGGATTTCTTATTTAAGTTATGAACAACTAAACATTTTCTTTTCAACCAAAGTCATAATGAGCTATTTCAAAATAAGATTAGCAATTTCTTAGGGCTGCTTTGTACATTTCAATAGAATATATTTATTGAAATTACTTCATGATCCTTAATATAGTATAAATGAATGAATGGTAATTACTGGGCATTAAAATTCAAAAAGTAAATTACATAACAATGTTTTCCAGAAAGTGTCTTATTTTATTTTTAACTTTTTTATCCAAGAGAAAGAAAATAAGTGATAGGTAAGTGCTTTCAAACATAATCTAGGAATAGTTTTTTAAAAAATATATTTTTATTGGTTTCAGAGAGGAAAGGAGAGGGAGAGAGAGAGAGGTAGAAACATCAATGATGAGAATCATTGATCCGCTGCCTCCTGCATGCCCCCTACTGGGGATCGAGCCCACAACCTAGGCATGTGCCCTTGACTGGAATCGAACCCGGGACCCTTCAGTCCGCAGGCTGACGCTCTATCCACTGAGCCAACCAGTCAGAGCAGGTATAGTTTTTGCATTAAATATTAATGTAATGAAAACATGAAAATTTTATTAAGCCTCTTTCATTTAAAATGTTGAAATTTGTTAAACCTGTCAAGCAAAGAGCTGAAGTTATAAAAACACAAATGGTATATTTAATTCAGTTCATATAGTATCAATACTTAAAGTTAAAACTAAAAAAGATACAATATTTGATGAAAAAAAGGTTAGGTCATAGTTGATTCTAAAGTTTGTTCTAAGATACTAGTCTTTGTTCATTAATATATCCTGGAGAAAAGTTTGTGAATTAAATTGGCTGATTTTCCTGTATGTCCAGAAAATATCCTAGTATGCTTGTTAAACCAATTAAAAATCCATTCATCTCAGATATCTTTAGAACAGGGTTGGAGAAAGTATGGAGAAGAGATTGAAAGAAATATCTATAAGAAAAAGAAAAAACACTTGGAAAGCTAACATTACCACGGTCTTCATAAAAAACCTAAGATATGTTTATTTTTAAGGGCCCCATATCTCAAGTTATGATGTTTCTGTTTTTAGGGTGATTCAAAATGGAAATAAATACATCTCCTCTTTGAATTATCTCTTCTATCTG